CGCGGGCTGCGGAGCGCGGGAGGCGGCACCGGAGCCGAGAATCGGAGCTGAGCCGAGCCATGCTAAACCGTTCTGTGCTGTGCGGAGCCCAGCTGGGCTGGTTTGGGCTGTGCTGAGCCGTGTGGGGCCATGCTGAGGAAAGCTGAGCTGTGCTGTGCTGTGTGGAGCCGAGCTGGGCTGGGCTATATGGAGCCATGCTGAGCCGAGCCGAGCTGTGCTAAACCAAGCTGTGCTGTGTGGAGCCGAGCTGGGCTGTGCTGTGCTAGGCTGAGCCATGCGGAGCCGTGCTGAGCTGTGCGGAGCCATGCTGAGCCGAGCTGTGCTGTGTGGAGCTGAGCTGTGCTGGGCTGGGCTGTGCCGAGCCTTGTGGAGCCATACAGAGCTGTGCTAAACCGAGCTGTGCTGTGCGGAGCCGAGCTGAGCTGGGCTGGGCTGGGCTGTGCTGTGCTAGGCTGAGCCATGCGGAGCCGTGCTGAGCTGAGCTGAACTGTGCTGTGCTGTGCTAAACCGTACTGTGCTGTGTGGAGCCGAGCGGTGCTGTGCTGAGCTCTGCTGTGCTGTGCTAAACCGTGCTGTGCTGTGCGGAGCCGAGCTGTGCTGTGCTGTGCTGAGCTGTGCTGTGCTGGACTGGGCTGAGCCGTGCGAAGCCATGCTGAGCCGAGCTGAACTGCGCTGTGCTGAGCTGTGCTAAACCGTACTGTGCTGGGCTGGGCTGGGCTAAGCCACGCTGAGCCATACAGAGCTGTGCAGAGCCGAGCGAAGCCGGACTGGGCTGGGCTGGGCTGGATTGAGCTGAGCTGAGCTCGGCTGAGCTGAGCTGAGCTGAGCTGAGCTGGACTGAGCTGGGCTGGGCTGAGCTGGACTGAGCTGGGCTGAACTGTACTAGGCTGGGCTGAGCTGGGCTGGATTGAGCTGTGTTGCACCTTGTGAAGAAACGGACTCAGTCTGGGGTGCAGAGTGAGACAACTTTATTTCCAAACCGACTTCTTTTTATACTTTCTTAACATAAGTGTTGCAAAGCGCACAACCAATCAGCATCTGGCCACCTGCGCGGTTGTCTGGCTTTGTTTCTTTTCTTCTGGCAAGACACGTCGCACACGAGGCAGGGGGAGGTGTTCCTCAGTCCTCGTCTTTCTCGGCTCTGTCCCCCATCTGCTGCAAAGACTGACACCCTTGTGGTTAACTATCGGCTAACAAGGTACTATTGTCTTTGAACAAGCCTCCACAAAAAGATAAAATTATTCTTAAGAAATTAGAACCAACTTAATTTATATTTTTGACCCAAGAAGTATCAAAGACGACCTAGCACAAATTAGCTAACCATAAAGGCTTTCTTTTAAGGGTAACAACAGCAGCACAATGCTACGTATCGATTAACATACATTCCTGCACCTTCATTGTCACAAAATGTAAAATAACTCTTTCTAAATTCTAATGCTGAAATAAAGTCTAATCAAGTCTTCTGTGTTACAATTCACATCTAGAAAAAAAAAAAAAAAGAAAGGGGTGGGGGAAATATATATATGTCTTCCCATTTTTCATTAGTTAAAGCAAAAAGGCTGATGGGGAAGGGAAGGAAAGGAACATATCAATTGAAAATAGTTTACTATACAATGTTATAAATAAAACTAAGCTTTCAGAACAGGCTTCAGTTCTCTAATCAATTGTGGTAATAGTGATTGTACATACCTGACTAATAGGATTTTGGTCGAAGTACTCTTCAACAAAATACTCCAATAACTATAAAGAAAAGTTAAGACTGTTAAAAAAATATATAAACAGTTTAATTCCACATACACTGAGTGGTTAACACCTGCAAAGCAAAGATTCAGTGACATGAAAAAAATGGGGGAGTAGAAGGAAAAGGAAGCACGAACCTTCACTCCCACTCTCCTTCCTCTGGCCAAAGAAACCTTAGCCCTTGCACCCTTCTCATTCCTGTATTATTTATGGAAAGTATATTTCAGAAAACTCATTTCACTGAGGGGAGCGGGGAGCGGGTGCAGGTGCTGACCCCTCTGTGTCGGAGGGACCATCCCTGCCCTCCGCCTGCACGGGTGGGAGACCCGTGCTCACAGTGCCAAGAAATGGTATTTCTTGCCTTAAAAGTCCCACATTGACCAGGGTACAAAGTGAGGTGGTCGCAGCTGATCCAGCGGCTGCATCGCGCAGAGGCTCCGTCAGCAGAGCCTTGGGCAGAGGGCTGTTCTCACGGGTCCTTGGTGCTGTTGGCATCCCATGGTGGTGGGTCCTGCAGGGTGTGTGAAGGACACCCAGCCCCTGGGCTGCGTGAGGACTGTGCAGCTTCTGGAATGGCAAAATCTTACCAATAGTGTGAGTTAAAGAAGAGCAGGTTGCTGCAGGGGCAGGAGCTTCTCACTGACTCCTTAACCTGGGCAGAACCTCTGGGCTGGGCAGGTCGCTCCGGAGGTCTCCTGGGGCCGGTGCCTCCTCTGCGGCTCCTGCCTTCCCAAGCGGAGCAACGAGGCCGAGCGCGTCCCGCGTGGGGCTTGTTCTGCTCCTGCGTCTTTGCCCAGGGCACTGAGCACTCGGGACCTGGCTTGGCCGGCAGCGTGGGGATGGCCTCAGGGTTGGAACTGATCCTGAAGGCCTTTTCCACCCGCAATGACTCCGTGATTCCGTGGTTCTGAACTCGCCCCTATGTGCCCGGTGCCCACATGTCCCACGCTGCGTGTCACAGAGCTCTGCGCGCAGGCCTGGCCATGCGGCCCCGGGGCGGAGGGCACTGCCGGCCACGGAGGATGCTGCCGAGCAGGGCCATTGCTGGCACAGGGGTTTCAGACACTGGCACGGGAGTCTCAGGAACTGGCACGGGTTTCCTGCCAGGGACCCTCTCGTGGGGCTGCAGCCGGGCCCTCGTGGCG